CAAGCTTATGAACTTTGATTGGTTGCATTTGATATGTGCATAGTCATGTGCTTGCTTGCATTGCAAATTTTTTTAAAAAATTTGATATGCATGCTTGTGTAGTGTATGCTAGTTATAGAACTTGAATGATGATTTGATAACTAGCATGCATAGGATAGTAGCTAGACTTGTATTTTTACACGTGGTACTAGAACCTTGCTTATAATGTTGATCTCATAGGGTTTCTAGTATTTTTGTTGTCTAGCTACTCATGGTGCTAAGGATGGTGTTAAAAGTGCAACTCCGATTGGTATCACACTTTAAAGGTTTATTCTATACACCTTAGCCTCATTTGGTAGTAATTACTCTCCCATAATTTCAATCGATGCATATGTGCGAGCTTCAAACCAAACACTCTAGCACATATATAGGAGGAGCTAATACTACCAATTTGGATTTATGGTACTTGTCCAAAATCATTTACACATGGTAAAATTGCTTGGGCAAGCAACATGAATCCAAAAGAGCTTAATTTCCATATCTTTGTAGAGTTGTCATCAATTACCAAAAAGTGAGAGATTGAAAGGTCCTTGTGTGGTTTTGGTAATTGAGTGACAACCTAGGTGAACTAATTGTGTTTATGTGAGATACACAGGTGATTAGTACACAGGTACATGTGTGTGAGCAACATATGTCATGAAGGTGAAAATGGCTCGGAGATGTTGCAAAGCTCACACATGTGATGATTAAGGAGCTCATTGCACATGAGACATGACATTGAGTCATGTGATCAAGGTGGAGAAGATCAAGATAGGACTTGGCTTGGTGGACCGGTTGCAAGAGTGAAGGGCAAGTCGGAGGCTTTAGAGCGATAGATCGCGTGGCGGTGAAGCTTGAGCAAGACTTGGCGCCGATGGACGAAGGCAACAGTGAAAAGCAAGTGAAGTCAAGATCGATGAACCAATACGGTCACGTGATGATATGAAATGGATCATATCATTTGGTGATTGGTTGGTGCATGTGTTGCATCAACAATGGAAGAGTTGGAAAGGAATGCATAAGGCAAAGGTATAACCTAGGTCATTTCATTTCACCGGTCATAGGTGTGTAGAGAAGTTGATGACTGGACTTAGGATAGATGGACGTACTATCAAGAGGGGCAAACTTATTTGCATATCGGTCATCTAGTGCCACTCGAGTGATCTAACTTTGCATCATTGCTAGGATCAAGTGGCGTGGCAAGTTGAGTGGCTAATCCTTTGAAAAATGTTTGTAAAAAGCTAACACACATACACATGGTGGTGTACACTTGGTGGTGTTGGCATATTTACAAAGGAGAAGAAGTTGGTGAAGAAAAAGGAGTTGAATGCGTTGGTCATGGGGTGACCAGACGCGTCCGACATGAATACCGGATGCGTCTGGTATCTGACTCAGGCGGCAGTGTTCTCGACATGACCGGACGTGTCCGGTATTCTGGTCAGGCGCGAGCAGAGTTGCCAAGGTGACCGGACTCTGGCTCGTAGTAGTGACCGGACGCTGAGCAATCACTATTTAGCATCAGGTCTAGGTGATGTGGGGTGTGGGTGTGTAGCGTCCCACCTCTCCGAGGCTGGGCCCGCTTACATCTAGCAGCTTAACTAGGATATAGACTGCCCTCATAGACCAACACTTGTCTTTTCTACGCACTTTATCCTCACTCGTGCGCACCCGGGAAGAACTTCTCGGTCGGTCACCCATCGCTCTAGGCCAAGCACGCTTAACCTTTGAGTTCTTAAGAGATGGGCTTCTAGAAAAGAAGTTACAACTTTTTTATACGAGTATCCTATTAATCCTATTAAGCCCTGAGCCGGGATGTTACATCCTAACCCCCTTAAGAGATCGACGTCCTTGTCGATAAATCCCAAGCCAGGAACGTCCCCTCTTAGCCACGTCCGTGTGTCTAGTGCCAGCGCATGTGCCATGCTGTGTGACCACACCAGATCCACACCAGCCATGTGCACCATGCCTACGCAACTACGACACACGCGCCATGAAACCACGAGAGTCGGCTCTGATACCATTCTGTAACGTCCCACCTCTCCGAGGCTGGGCCCGCTTACATCTGACAGCTTAACTAGGATATAGACTGCCCTCACAGACCAACACTTGTCTTTTCTACTCACTTTGTCCTCACTCGTGTGCACCCGAGAAGAACTTCCCGGTCGGTCACCCATCGCTCCAGGCCAATCACGTTTAACCTTGGAGTTCTTAAGAGATGGGCTTCCAGAAAAGAAGTTACAACTTGTTGGTACGAGTATCCTATTAATTCTATTAAGCCCTGAGCCGGGGTGTTACAGGGTGTTGGTCCAGAGAGGACCGGACGCAGGGGCGCGTCCGGTCGGCCACACCAAACACATCCGGTCACAATTGAGCGTCTCTGGGAGCTCTCTGGACTCAACTGGACGCTGCCCCTCCTACGTCCGATCACTTCGCTATAGTGCGTCCGATGCGTCGCGTTAGAGTGTGTCAGAGAGGGCCATTGGGCGACAACGGCTACTTCGTTTGAATGGGACATGTGGCAGTCAAGCAGTGACTGGACACAGCGACCGGACGCGTCGGTGCACATGACCTGCACGTCTGGTCGTCTCAAAATCTGCTCAGTAAAGAGGTAACGGTTATTTTAGCCCGTGGGGCTATAAATAGAAGTGTTGGTCGGCCTTTGGCCGAGAGTGGTGGAGAGCTGAGCACACTAGAGCCTTGGTGGCTTATGTGGTAGTGCTTGGGAGCCCTCTAACTCACTTGTACTTGATAGTGTTCATCCGATCAAGTGAGTGAGCGATTCTAGTATGATTGCATCGTGAGATTACATCGAGTGGCACTAGATAGTCATCTTGTAAGCCAGTGGTGATTGTTACACTTGGAGGTTGTCACCTCCTAGACGGCTTGGTGGTGGTCTTCATCGAAGCCCACAAGAAGCTCGTGCGGTGCTCCGGAGAAGAACTTTGTGAGGGGCATTGTGCTCGCCCCACGGGAGCCGTGAAGAGTAACTCTAGTAGAGCGAGACGCGAAGAGCAACAAGTGGTCCGGCCGGGTCAAGTGCTAAAGCTTGTGGTAAGCACTCTCATGTGGGAGAGTGTGACTTACGGGTCACCACTAGCAAGAGGACCGCGCGGCAACCTTAGAGCTTGTCTCAATGGGAATGTAGCTTGTTGGTAAGCACGTGAACTTCGGAAGAAAAATTACCGTGTCAACATTGTTCTTCCCGTTGGTTTGTAGTCCCCTTACAAAAGCTTGTAATTACTTTTATATACATTGTGCTTATGTAGTTGCACTTGTAATTAGTTAGCTTGTGTAGCTCACTAGTTACCTTCTTGCTTATGTAGTTGCTCTTGTAATTAGTTAGCTTGTGTAGCTCACTAGTTACCTTCTTGCTTGTCAAGGCCACGGGTTACATCAGGGCGTGTTGGTCTCTTCCCTAGTGTTAGAGCTTTGACTCAGGCCTATATGCTTGGATTTGGAGTGGTTGATGGTGGTATGGGTCTCCGTCAGGTGAGGCGGAGCCCACAGCCTCGGGGTCGGGCAAGGCGGAGTCCTCCTTCAGAAGCGGGGCGAGGTGGAGCGCAGACCCAAGGGTCGGGGGAGGCGGAGCCCGCGGCCTCGGGGTCGGGCGAGGCGGAGTCCTCCCTTAGAGGCCGGGCGAGGCGAAACACAGACCCAAGGATTGGGTGAGACGGAGCGGAGACCCAAGGGTCGGACGAGGCGGAGCATAGACCCAAGGGTCAGGCGAGGCAGAGCGCAAGCCCAAGGGTCGGACGAGGCGGAGCGCAGACCCAAGGGTCGGGCGAGGCGGAGCGGACACCCAAGGATCGGACAAGGCGGAGCGGAGACCCCAAGGGTCGAACGAGGCGGAGCATAGACCCAAGGGTCAAGCGAGGCAGAGCACAAGCCTAAGGGTCGGGCGAGGCGGAGGGGTCAGGCGAGGCGGAGGGGTCGGATGAGGCGGAGTCCTCCTCCAGAGGCCGGACGAGGCGAAGCGTAGACCCAAGGATCGGGCGAGGCGATGCCCTCTCCCAGAGGTCGGAAGAAGCGGAGCTTAGGCGCCGGGGGACGGTTGGAGCTGTAGTCGCGCTCTTGACTTTCGGATGAGTCAATGTTGATTGTCATTAGCTCCTCCTCTTCGGATACCCTAGTATTGGTCCTCGACATCCACCCCTTTTGCCCTTGAGGTTTTTACCGGTATACCATTATAAAAGTTAGTAATTACCCATAAGCCATTAAAAAGTTAAGTTTTCACATGTCTCACTGCTATGAACCCGTTTGCCCTCCACGCCACATCTGTCAGATTTGACTAACGGTGTCAACATGCGGGTGTGAAAAGTCAAAAATATCCTCAGGTCTAAATATGCAATTAATTTTTTTGAGCATCTTAACTATATCAAATGGAAAAACTCAAAATTGAAAGTTATAGATCTCGTCGAGATCTACAATATTTATATAAAAATTATCCTTATTTGATTCCGTTCAAACAATATGATTTTTCTAAGACATATTAATAATATTAAATCATATCTTTTTTATATAATTAAATAAAAATAATTTTTATATAGAAATTGTAGATATTGTCGAGATCTATGATTTTCTAGTTTTGAGTTTTTTCGTTTAAAGTCATTAAGATGCTCAAAAAAATTAACCGCATATTTAGAACTAAGAGTATTTGGAATTTTCACGACGAAGATTTGACAACGTTAGAGCTGGAGTAGCGTGGAGGGCATACGTAAAAACTCAAATTTTTTATAGCTCGCAGGTAATTACCCGACTTTTACCGTGGACACATGTAAAAGCCTCTTTGCCCTTCCGCTTCCGTCTCGTTTGGACACGGGACGGCGCCTTCTCCCCTTGCGCTCGTGCACGACCGCCCTGCCACCTCCATCCGCCGCCGCCGCCACCGCCGCGCTGGGTCTGGTTTGGGCTCTGTTAACCTGGGCCGCTGGGAGACCTTGATTTTCTCTGCCCCCGTTGCCGCGGTCGTCAGCAGTGAAGCGATGCTGGAGAAAGACCGGATATCCTACTTCTACGACGGTACATTCACCGCGCTCCCTCTTCTCCTCGCTGCAAAAACCCTAGCTCTCGCCATAGTCGCAACTCGCTGTTCTTAGTTCTTATTACTCCACTTCGGACTTCGGTGTTCCATCGCGTACTGCGCGTGGCTTTAAGCACTAAAGCGAGGATTCTACGGGGACTGAGTAGTTTCCTTTTGTTTCGCTGATTTCAAGTGGTCAGACGTGATCAATGCTCATGGGGATCGCCTTTTGCTCAGCTGGATTTTGGGCTATTTTAGCAAGGGGAAATTGCCGGAGGTATTAACTTCCAGGACTTGCTCGATTTGAGTTGGGAATGATTTGAATTGGTATTCACCAATCACAAATCCTGGTGCTAGGTTCCTTATAGTTTAGCTTAGGTTCGTTATAGTAGGATTTATGCTTTGTGCCTAGTCAGATAACATAGGTGCAAGTATCTCTTGGATCAAGATTTGAATGGAATTCACTGCACCCTAAATGCTAGTATTTAAAGAGGTTATAGTCAAGGCAAGCTACATGTAGCTATAGTTGTAGTCTTGTAGATTTGTAGCTACAAAATTCCATTTGGTTCTTTCCATGTTATAGGAAAGAAGATTCTTGCAAAATTCATTGTCTCTGCGCTCTCTGCATATAGATGGTTTTTATCCATGTTCTAGAAAATGAAAACATTGATATAAAGTTCCACCCAGTTTTTTTAATATGTAAAGTATTTTATTTGTTCAAATTCGTAAAGTTCCAGAGCTCCTGCGTCTTTCAAAGCAAATGTTTGAATTTGTGATTGCTGGCTTAACAATTTCTTTTGCCACACCCATTTTAGGAGATGTTGGCAATGTCTACTTTGGGCCAAATCACCCCATGAATCCTCATCGTCTCTGTATGACACATCACCTTGTTCTTTCGTATGGACTTCATAAAAAGATGGAGATATATGTCAGTATTGAATATCATCTATTCATTTCTTTGGACCCGTGAAGACTGTAATGTTTAATGTTATTTTGCAACCAATGGATTCTGCAGAGACCACACAAAGCATATCCAATAGAGCTTGCCTAGTTCCATTCTGCTGATTATGTGGAATTCTTGCACCGGATAACTCCTGACACCCAGCACCTATATGCAAGTGAATTAACTAGATGTATGGATGCTGGAGTTTTCTCTTTTTCAAACTATTCTTCCAGACTCAGCTAATTTCACAGTGAAATACATGTCACATAACTTGCTCATATTTCATTCTTATACCTTTATTTATTCTTGTTAATTAGATCTAAGGTGTTACTACACTTATATTTTGCCTAGGTCTTCATGTGTATAGTTAAAAGAATAGAAAGAAGAGATTATCACTGTATATATTTTAGTCTTTTGTTGCATACAACAAATATAACGTTAGCTATTTCCAATCAAATGAAAACAATCCGGTTTATACCTTCCATAATATCCAATTAAAATCTCTATCGATCGCAACCCACAGCCTTTTTTGATTTTCTGACTTAATTTATAACAACAACAACAACAACAACAACAAAGCCTTAATTTATCTGTGTTTGTTTTTCTCTGTTCTCAGACAATCTTGGAGAAGACTGCCCGGTCTTTGATAATTTGTTTGAGTTCTGCCAAATCTATGCTGGAGGAACTTTAGGTAATGTTAAAATCACTGAGGGTCTGAGGCTTCTTTCGATTTTACAAACTCTCTAAGCTGTTCTTTATATTCTTTTTAGATGCTGCTCGCAGATTAAATCATAAAACTTGTGACATCGCCATTAATTGGGCTGGTGGGCTGCATCATGCCAAAAAGTGTGAGGCGTCAGGCTTCTGTTACATTAATGATCTAGTATTAGGAATTCTGGAGCTTCTCAAGTACCATGCCAGGGTTCTTTATATTGACATTGATGTCCATCATGGAGATGGAGTTGAAGAAGCCTTTTATTTCATTGACAGGTTCATGCTTTGCCACTAAAAGATTATTTACTGTAATTTCTATAGCTCATTGTAGTGTGTTAATTAGTGAGTGTCTTCAAGGTGCTTCAGATTTCTTAACTTTTTCTCTTTAACGTTTTGCAGGGTAATGACTGTGAGTTTCCACAAGTCTGGTGATCTGTTCTTTCTTGGAACGGGTGATATTAAGGTAAGGTTCAACTCACAACCGTCATGAATAATCTAATGTATTTCACCTCCATTTAGTTTCTATTAGCTTTCTGTCAGTGTCACAAATGCAGGCATTGAGACTACACTATACCTTTACATTAGATAGGTAACTAGTATGGCCCTTTGGGCCACATGGTCTTGTGCTGCACTTGGCCTAGAGCCCGTGCGCCTCCTTGTATGATTGATGGATAGGCAAGGATCACCGTTGGTTGGTTGATGCATCTATAAGCCAAACCCTACGGCATCCTGCCTATATACAACAACAACAATAACAACAACATAGTCTTTCAGTCCTAAGCAAGTTGGGTAGGCTAGAGTTGAAACTCATCAAGAGCCCCAAGTCACGGTTTAGGCACTTCAATAGCTGCTTTTCAAGTACTCCTATTCAAACATAGATCTCTAGGTATATCCCAAGCTTTCAAATCTCTTTTTATTACCTCCCTCCATGTCAATTTCGGTCTTTCTCTACCTCTCCTCATATTATTAGCTTGGCTTAGGACTCCACAATGCACTGATGCCTCTGGAGGTCTCCTTTGAACATGGCTAAACCACCTCAACCGATGTTGGACAAGTTTTTCTTCAATTGGTGCTACCTCTAGGCGATCACGTATATCATCGTTCCGAACTCGGTCCATTCTTGTGTAACCACAAATCCATCGCAACATACGCATTTCTGCAACACTCAGTTGTTGAACATGTCGAATCTTTGTAGGCCAACATTCTGCTCCATACAACATAGCCGGTCTAATCGCCGTTCTATAGAACTTGTCTTTTAGCTTTTGTGGTACCCTCTTGTCACAGAGAATGCCAGAAGCTTGTCGCCACTTGATCCACCCTGCTTTGATTCTATGACTAACGTCCGCATCAATATCTCCACCCCTCTATAGTATCGATCCCAGATACCGAAAGGTATCCTTCTTAAGCACTACTTGACCTTCCAAACTCACATCTCCCTCCTTCTGTACAACTCCGCCAAAGTCGCATTTCATGTATTCGATTTTAGTTCTGCTCAATCTAAAACCTTTAGACTCAAGGGTCTGCCGCCATAACTCTAGTTTCCTATTTACTCCCGCCTGGCTTTCGTCCACTAACACTACATCATCAGCGAACAACATACACCAAGGGATATCTCCTTGTATGTTCATGGTAACCTCATCCATTACCAAGGCAAAGAGATACGGGCTTAAGGCTGACCCTTGATGAAGTCCAATTTTAATCGGAAAGTAATCTGTGTTACCATCGTTTGTTCGAACACTAAATTTCACTGCCTGTATACGCGTTAAATTTTATAAGTGATATGCTGTGGACGGCGATCGCAGGCCTCTTTCAGGCGAACAAGGCCTCCCGCGCCGTCTTCCTGAGTCACGAGTTCCACTCGATGACTTAGGGCAACCTCTCCATCGACAACTACTGCCAGAAGATGAAGGCCACTGCCAATGCCCTGCGTGACGTCGGCCACACCGTCGTCGACTCGCAGCTCGTCCTCAACTTGCTGCGCGGCCTCAACCCCCGCTTCTCTAGGAAACTAAGGGAGCCTGAAACCATCTACTCATGACCCTTGGTCACGTCACATAAATTTCAATACCCCCCTGTCAATCACAACTCACTCGCCAAGTTGAGATTGTTTCGGAATGACAATGTCTGTAACCAAGAAACAAGCATTGTTTGGATCGAAACTGAAGTTTCCTGGAATTATAAGTGCGGAGGTTTGGCCAACAGGCGCAACCAAATGTACGAAGGGTCAAGTAATCTGGTTGTTGATGAAAGAGGCGCTGTAAAGGAGTCTAGCCGTGAATAACTTTGCTAGGGAGGCGATTAATCAAATAAGTAGCGGTGATAAAAGCTTCATCCGAGAATTTTAACGGCATAGAAGCATGAGCAAGCAAGGATAGCCCAACTTCAACAATATGGTGGTGTTTGCGTTCAGCAAACCCATTCTGTTGATGAGCATAGGGGCAAGAAACATGATGAGAGATGCCAATACGTTGAAAGAAAGCATTCAACTTTTGATATTCACCTCCCCAATCGGTTTGCATGGCTAAAATCTTTTTATCCAATTGCCTTTCAACCATGCTTTGGAATTCATGAATTTTTTGGAAAACTTCAGATTTGTGGCGAGGTGGGAGCGGGTCCCCATACATCAGAGAACACGAGTTCAACGGGACTAGATGAAACACTTGTTGACTTAGGATAGGGAAACTGATGACTTGCCTTTCTGACCAGCATCACAAACTACATCTTTATTCCACTCTAAAACAAAGGGAACATTGTTTGTGCTAAGGACCTGCTCAACTACTGCAAAGGAGAGAGGACCAAGACGGATGTGCCATCTAGCTGAGGAGGACTTGATCGTGCCACATGTCACTTTGTTCGGGAAGACCTAGTCTTCAACCGGTAGAGACCACCGTCGCAGTTTCCTCTAAGAAGAATTTTCTTCGTTGCCTAGTCCTTAATCAAAAAATAATTTGGATGAAATTCCATGAATGCATGATTGTCAGAAGTGAGTCGATGGACAGAGGCAAGATTTTTGCTAGCTTCAGGTACATAAAGAACATTATTGAGGACAAGATCTCGATTTGGGGTACGAACAAAACTTTGGCCAATTCGGTCAATTCTCATACCGACGTCGTTGGCGGTGTGCACCCGATCCATCTCGCCGGTGATGTGATCGGTCGCAACGGTATCGGTGTACCAGTTTGTGTCGATGTCGTAGGAGGTAGTCGCCGTCGATGTCGAGCAGTGCTCCGGCTGTCCAATGAAGGACGCGTTGAAGCGCTTGAAGCAGCACAGAACCGTGTGGCCCTCCTTGCCGCACAACTGAGGTTGGACTGATGACGACCTCCGTTGCCACGGTCGCCGCCACGACCACGGCCTGGGCCGCCGCCACAGGTGTTGCCTCCACGGCCACCGCGGACCGACGAATTTGCTGACGAGCTGGAGCCACCGTGCAGTAGATCCATTCGCTGCTCCAAACTAACGAGTTGGGTGTAGAGTTGCCCCAAGGTTAGCGGATCTACACGCGCTGCCATGGCGGAGACGACGGGGTTGAAGTCCATGTCGAGGTCGAGGAGGATGTAGGAGGCTATCTCCCCGTCCTCAACTTCTTTCCTGCAGCCGCCATGTCATTTGCAAGAGATTTCATGCAACTGAAGAAGTCGGCGATGGTGGAGGAGCCCTTCTGCGCAATGGCCAACGCCATGCGCGTGTTGATGACGCGCCGACGAGATTGGGACGCTGACATGTCCTGGATGACCTTCCACACTTCGGAGGCGGTGGAACATGTGCCCACTTGCACCAAGATTTCCCTTTTAATAGATTAAAGCAGGTAATTGAGGATTTGTTGATCCTTTGCAACCCAGGCTTCATAGTCTGGGTTTGGAACTAGGTGGGTTGGCTTGTCAACTGACATGGGAATCTCCTTCGCCGGCACTAGTGCGTCGGGGTTGAGGTAATGCGCGACCTGCGCACCTCGCAGGGCCGACATGACCTGAGCCTTCCATAGCGGGTAGATGTTCTTCGCGAGCTTCTCGATGACAGGACACCAGATGGAGAGCGCAGCGCCATCAGCGGAAGAAGAAGAAGCCATGGACGAGATTGTGGAGAAACCTAGCTGTGATTACCATGTGAAAATGGGTGTAACGTGATGCCATCTCAAGCTCACGGCTCCGTGTTATATAGGCTAGGAAAAGCCCCTAACATGGCACATACAACTTAGTGTACAAGTCAAGAAAGACTTACAAGGGAACAAAGATATGTGATCAATCAATCTACCTACAATACAAGGAGCAATGTAGATACGGCGCCATATTTGTTGTTTCCTTGTATTGTAAGTAGATTGATTGATTGATATCTTTCTTTCTATGTAAATCTTTCTTGTCTTGTACTCCAAGATGTACTGCCACGCTAGAGGCTTTTCCTAGCCTATATAACACGGAGCCGTGAGCCTGAGAAGGCATCACGTTACAACCATTTTCACATGGTAATCAGAGCTAGGTTCCTTCACAACCTCGTTCATGGCTTCTTCCGCGCCTGGTGCTGCTCTCTCAATCGACTGCCTAGTCACCAAGAAGCTCACGAAGAACAACTTACCGTTGTGGCAGGCGCAGGTGATGTCTGCCCTGCGTGGTGCCCAGGTCGCGCATTTCCTCAATGCCAACGCGCTGGTTCCACCGAAGGAGATCCCGAAGTCCGCTGATAAGCCGACGGATTTCATCCCCAACCTAGACTACGACACCTAGGTCGCCAAGGATCAGCAGATCCTCAACTACGTGCTCTCCTCCATCTCCGGGGAGATCTTAGTGCAGGTCGCTTCCTGTACTGCCGCCGAAGTATGGAAGGCCATCCAAGATATGATGGCGTCCCAATCTCACGGCCACGTCATCAACACACGCATGGCTCTGGCCACTGCGCAGAAAGGCTCCTCCATCGCCCAGTTCTTCAGGAAGATGAAATCCCTTGTGGATGACATGGCGTCTGCAGGCAAGAAACTGGAGAATGAAGAGATCGCCTCCTACATCCTCACCGGCCTCGGCATGGACTTCAACCCCGTCGTCTCCGCCATGGCAATGCGCGTGGAGCCGCTGTCCCTGGGCTAAATCTACACCCAACTGGTGAGTTGGGAGCAACTTATGGATCTGCTGCATGGCGGCTCTGGGTCTTCGGCCAATGCGGCCACCCCTGGTGGTCAAGGGGCCAACAATCGTGGCAATGGTCGTAGCAATGGCTCCAACGCCGATCGACCCACTTGCCAGCTTTGCGGCAAAGAGGGCCACACCGTGTTACGCTGCTACAGGCGATTCGATGCATCCTTCACTGGACCTCCAGAGCAGTGATCTGCGTCGGCCACCACCACCACCTCCTACGGTATCGGTGCTACCAATCACATCACTAGTGAACTGGAGAAGCTCACCGTGAGAGACAAGTACAATGGCGCCGATTAGGTGTACACTGCCAACGGCGTAGGTATTTGAATCAACCAAA